CTCAGCTATAAAAACGAATGAAATACTGCCATTTGCAACAACATGGATGGACCTTGAGAGAATAATATTGAGTGAAACGCATAACTTCCCTATTTTAAGGTCTTTAATTATATTACATCTGCATGATAGATCTGCCATATGACCCAGTTATCCCACTGCTGGGAATATATCCAAAGGAATGGAAATCATCAAGTCGAAGGTATACCTGTACCCCAATGTTCATTGCAGCACTCTTTACAATAGCCAAGAGTTCCCCCCCGCCCAAATGTCCACCCCCCCCCGAGTGGATACGGAACCCCCCGTATATATACACAATGGAATATTACTCAGCTATAAAAACGAATGAAATACTGCCATTTGCAACAACATGGATGGACCTTGAGAGAATAATATTGAGTGAAACGTTTTTTGAAGTTGTTACAACAAGCAAACGGAAAGGACATTCTCAGGGGGGGAGGGGAGAGAGGGAGGAGGGCAGGAGGTGTCGATGATGGGCCATAATAATCATATACATTGTATATTGACAAAATAAAAATTTAATGAAAAAATAAATAAAAAATAAAAGACTAATCGAAATTAAAAAATATATATATATATATATTACATCTGCAAAGTTCCTTCTCAGCACTACCTAGAATAGTGTTTGACTGAATAACCAGGGGATAGGAATCTTGGAGGAACGTCTTTAGAACTCTGTCTACCACACTTTCTATACAGGAAATGTGTTTGCTGCCCTTGGGAAAGATAAAAGACCTGTAGGATGAAGCAAAGTGAGAAAGGAGAATTGATGTTTGGTTCTAGGAAGGAATTTGGGCTTTATTTTCATCTCAATAGGAATCTATTAGGGGATTTTTACATGGGAAAGCAACAAAAATTCACTTATACTTGAAAATTAATCAGTGTGGGGAGTGGGAAAAGCTTCCTTAGCGATTATACCTCTTATTCTGCTCAGCAGGGCCCTGTGTATGAAGGGATATGTTAATAATGGAGTGGACATGATCTCTGTATGCCTGCACGTGAGCGTGTGTGCGAGCATTTGTTGGTAGGGGAGAGATGTGGGGAGGACATCTTTTCAGAAACTGGAAGAAGGGAGGGGCTGATCCTTAAAAAGTGAGGAAGGAGGTAACAAGTTACAAAGGGAGATAGGTGTACACTGGATGTACTTCATCAAATACTTGTGCTTTTGTCTAATGAGGCAACCTGAAGTTACCTGCCATCCTAACTCACTTCTCAAGATGCAGGGCCCACAAAAACGAAGCCAGTATAAATCACTCCCTGCTATAGGGAACTCTACTTCCCAGCAGTTCCATATGAACACAGTGGGGCATGAGCTGTCCAAGACTAGCCTCTGCAATCATTTCAGTTAACAGACCTCTGGCCCACAGCCTGCTTTGCTGCCTGAGCTAGGGGTATAAGCCAGGCACTCTGAGAAAAACAATCAGCTGGCCTTTGTGTGTCCCTTTGTTAGACTGCAGGTTTCTTAGCTCAGGAATCCCAACCCAATACCATTCGCCTTGTAACTTCCAAAAACACCTGAAATGTCATATTTGAAAACAACATACTTCCCTTTTTACCAATATTGCAATGGATTTATTCTTAGTTTAATTTCAGTGAGTTTACAAATATGGATGGAAAAGTTAAATTTGTGGCTTAGTCCATTATTTTAAACAGAAATCTCCATACTATACCTTTTCTTACTGAGCTAATATTTTCTTGTGGGTGGGGGGGGGAGGCTGGCATAATTTTCCTAGAGGCATTTTAAGGGAAAGCTGAACTGCATACTTTGGATACAAAGATAAGGAGCAACTGTGACAGCAACGGATGGGACCACCAAGAAGATGGGTCCCTCTGCAACTACCTGCCTTCATCATACAAGGGGCTGAGAACCGGGGCCTGACAGTTTGGGGCAGCAATGAGGCGAAGTGAGGAAAGGAGGGGTAAGGTTTTGCTCTGGACTCACTGGCTCTGCACATGTTGTGGTACAGAAGTGCTTGCCCTGGTCATAGCTGAGGAACCTGGGACTTGCCTACTTTTCCCTAAATCATCTCTAAATTTCTTGGCAAAAACAGATTAAGAGAGCTCTAAGACCTAGGTCTTTCTGACCTTGGCAGGCCCCATTAGCAGACACACTGCCGATTGCTGAGACCCCTGAGCTTGGCCATTGCAAAGCGCCAAGGGTTTAAGTACCTTGACTATAGAGCATGCTGCCTAAAATGCCACCTTATGTGGACTTTCAAATTTCTCAGTTATTTTCCATTTTCTTAACTGATTTATATATTCAGTGGCACATTATGCTGACCTAACTCCTTACGAAAGCTCTCTCTCCATGTTTTCCCATTCAGTTCCTATGAGCCAAATTAGTAACACTTAAAGTTAGCCCTTACATGACTACATTTTGTTTTGTGCCTGGCATAGTGCCCAGCACCTGGTACTCTGTAAACATTTGTCAATTTGATAAGTTAACATTTGATAACTGATAACAAAATAGCAAACCTGATGTGTCGTTAAGGATTATCTAATACAACTCCCTCACTTTTACTAAGAAAACTGAGATCTTAGGGGGTATGATGTATATAAACTGTCAAGGTCACAATCACTGGCAGTTTTCTAATGCCCATTTTAATGCTCTTTCCATTATGAACTGATTGTCTGTTGGATAAGTCTTATTTAAAGACAAGAGTTAAAGTGGTGACTACATCTTATCTATTCTCATAAGGCTCCCTCCACTCATACACGCTGCAGAGGAGGTCATTTAAAATAGCTCCATCTTCTTAAACTGTTTAGAGTGTGCTCCATCTGCCTGCATTACCACCAACTTCAGATTTGAGGTCAAGAACTAGGAATCTGAGAAGGAAGTTAGAATCCTCTCTTTCAATCAGACTTTTGCAGATGGGCTATAAAGCACCCCTTAAAAACACTGGGGAATAACACTGAAGACCAATAAATAACACATAAGGATGAGTAAGTGAAAAATAATACTCTGGGATTTATGAAAAAGTTCTAAAGTCTAGAAAAAGAGAAACATAACTAAAAGATATTTCTTTCTTTTCAACTAGATATATTCCATAAAACCAGACACATTTAGAAGGCCTATGATCTCTAATAATGAGATGCAAGTATTGCAAAACCACATGAACCGTTAAAAAGAAAACGATTCTTCAAAGCAATAAAAGAAAAGTCGAGGTAGATGGAGAGAAGAGGATGAACAATTACTGAACAACCATGAGCCAGGTCTTTTAAATCTGTATTTTACTTAATCCTCACTCTTCAACAAGATAGATATAAACTATTCTCACTTTAGAATTATTGAACAATTAGGTAGCCTACAGTCACAACTAGTAAATGACAGAGCCAGAATTTAATAACAGGTCTATTTGATCCCAAAGCCCATGATCTTTATAGTATGACTCCACCTTATCAAAACCAACTTGTCAATGTGGAAGACAGACTTGATATTTTAGAACTGAGAAAATGAATTAAAATTTCAAAAAGATGGGAGAGAAGAGAGTAGACTGAAATATCAATTTCCCACAGAATACAAATCAAAAGAACCATATATAATTATTAGATGTATAACAGAAACATTTAGAAAGACTTGACATTATACATTTGGATAAATTACCACATTCCTGCCCAAAATTTTAAGCTTTAATACCACAGCTACGTGACATGTGCTGGGAAAATGTGTTATTTCTACAAAGTGAATGTAACTTTCAAAGACATTAAAAATTAGGTCAGTGTTCATTTCTCTGAAACAATACCTAAAGATGGTGCAGCATCAACACTTGGGAGGAAAGAATTTAATCCAAGATTATCATATCCAATCAAGATAGTTGTCTGAGACAGAGAGAAATCATAATGCAAAGTTTCAGAAAATTTCTTACCCAACTGCTTCAGCAACATACTCAAAATCACAAAAGGCTGAAAGAATGCTTCTGTGTGGCATAATGTAGAAACAACTGTCAAGTGACTCCTAGCTCAAATTTTCTTTCCAGCTTTAACATATCCTATTTGATTATTCCTTTCAGGTTTAGATTCTTCCTTAATACATCTTAATTCAGGAGGAGCCATTTCATGTGCTAACCAGAGCCATAGGCTCTGCCTACTCCAAGATGAGCTAAATCAACTGGATTTTCTCTTTTGGACATAATCTGAACTAAGCTCCACAGAGAGAAGTGGCCTGTGGCTGGTGATCAATGAAGCTGAAAGTCAGGGCTGGCAAAAGTTACAGTTGAAGAAAACCGATAATAAACACTGATACCAAGTTACAGACTTAAATAAAACATTAACACCTAGTAGGCAATTGCTGATAACTGTAAGCAACTACGGTAATTGCAGACCCAAGAGGATGGGAGTGGGTTATAAAGAGAATTACTAAATACCAGGAAAGAAAAACTACAAAGAATTCCTTGACATCAATACCTGAGAATCCAAGATTACAGTGTTGTTTTTAAAGGAATGGAAAAAGACAAAGACAGTAATGAATACTGCAAAACATTTTAAGATGTTAAAAGATATAACCAAAAACAAGAAGTTTAACATCCAAATTCTAATAAAAGACAATCACATATTTCAAAGGGAAAAACTAAAAGTTGCAACAATAAAGCTTTTAAAATAGCATAAAAATAGAAGGCAGACCAAGAATAAAAATTTAAACTTTCTCTCTATATATGCACACACAAACTGTTTAAATTCACCTATTAGAAATGTCTCAAATTCCATTTCAAGTTGCACTGTTCACAAGAGAAAACATTAGAACCTGAATGTAACTTCCATGAGACCAAAGACATTTGTCTGTCTTGTGCATTGCTCCACCTTCAAGCACCTGGAATGCTGTCTGGCATTCAATTTTTTAAATGAATAATGCAAAAAGAATGCTAACGGAACCAAACTCACTGCTTAGTGCTGCCATGGTACAGTCCCTTTGACTCAGTGCAGATGGAAGTTCTACACAGGCGCTACTTTTCTAGAAAATAATTTAGAACACATGCCAAAAGCTTTAAAAATGTGCATACACTTTAATCCAAGAATTTTACTCAAGAAATTTATATATTTTTTAATATAATCACTAAATGGCATTCAACATATTTTTGTTTATGATAAACAAAAGATAAATATAATGTCCTGCCCTAAATACCTTCTAACAGAAGACTAAATAAATTACAGCTCATCCATACAATGGAACCTAAGGCAATTGTATAAGGGAAGATGTTGTAGACATTTATGTTAACATAGAAAATGATGATATACTTAAGGAAAAGTATAGGCTACAAAAGAGAATGCATAACACAATCTCACTCCTGTATAAAACATCTGGAAGAATCTGTACTGAAATATTAACAGTGTGTCCCCCAAAGTGATAGGATAACTGATATTTTACTTTTTATCTCTAATGTTTCTACAATGAGCATGTATTATTTATGAAACAGTCTATTATAAAAACCTGAAAACATTTATTTTTGAAAGAGAGCAATACTACAGGCTATGAAGTATTAAATAAAATATTAATGTTAAACATCATATACTTTCTGAAAAAATACATTCTTCACCTTTCAGTTCTGTGGATATGTCTCTGATACCTTGCTATTTCTGAACATGTTTTTATGGGTTAATCCTGGTAAGGGAAGAAAACCATAAAAGAAGTCACAAACAAAAAGAAAGTAAAAACTGGCACTTTCATTCTAGCTTTTGGTGAGATCTTAAGCCTATTTAAATAGCAGTAAGCAAAGCTGTTTCAAAGGTAAACCATTATCCTACCTAACATTAAGAATTATGTGGCCCTCAGAAGGAACTTTCTTCAATAAAAGATGAATATACACCCTCATATGTAAATTTAATCTTCACATTTAAAAAAAAGTTTCAATCTGAGCTATTTATTTTATTCATGTTCAAAAGATAAACCTCTCAGAAACAAAACAAAAAATCCATTTTCTTTAAATAGGCTTACACATCAGGTAATAACTGGGAGGCAAATACTAACATAAGCTATGCCAATCACTTGTAAAATCTGAGCTATTGCTGTTATTTGAGGTAAAAAAAAAAATTCAAAATATACTCTCAAAAACAATTAACACATCCCCAGCTTCCTATGCTACAAAATGAGAAAGACTATACTATAAAGATGCCATATTTTAATTTCAAGTGTCCCATTTACTTTCCACAACCAAAAGTTTTGTTCCAGTTTTCATAAAGCTCTAGATCTTTTGGAGACACACTAGGTCGCACAGTTCTAAACGCATTTTCAAAATCATTATAAGCTATTGGTCGAACCTGATCTGGTGTGATGGTAGCAATGTCAGCAGTCTGTAAACTGCGAATAGGACCAAGAGAAGCCTCTCTGCAAAGCTGTGTCACGTCAGCTCCAGAGAACCCATCAGACTGCTGTACAACCCATTCAATCTCTTCTTCACTGAGGCAACACTGTTCCTTTGACATGAGATGAATTACTATCTGTTTCCTGGCTGAAGCTTCAGGGAGGGGAATATACAGCCTTTTCACCAGTCTTCTCCGAGCAGCCTCATCAATCTCTTGAGGCCGATTTGTTGCTCCCACCACTAGAATACGATCTTCAGAAGATGTGGTTGCTCCATCTAACTGGACTAAAAATTCAGTCTTTATCCTTCTAGAAGATTCGTGCTCACCATCAGCCCGTTGAGACAACAGGGAGTCAATTTCATCAATAAATATCACAGCCGGTTGCTGATACCTTGCAACAGCAAACAATGCACGGACCATTTTCTCCCCCTCACCTACCCATTTAGAAGTCAAGGATGAAGCAGAGATGCTAAAGAATGTTGCCCCAGACTGACTGGCAATGCACTTGCCAATAAGAGTCTTACCGGTCCCAGGAGGACCAAAGAGCAGGATTCCTTTGGGGGGTCCCCGTAAACCAGTAAAGATGTCTGGCCTCATCATGGGCCACACAACTATTTCCTTTATTGTGGCTTTAGCAAATTCTACTCCTGCAATATCTTCCCAATTTACCGGAGGTCCATGATCCATAATCTCATTCATTATAAGTTCAATCATCTTTGGCTCCAAGTTCTTCAGACGCTCATCAACTGGATGTGCTGGTTCTGTAGGTCCGGCCCCATAAGGCTTATACTGCATTCCTCCATTTTGCTCTCCCCCATCTTGCTTAGGTACAGGAGGAACAAACTTTCCAAATATGCCTCGGGATCTACTAGCTCCCAGAGACTTTTTTACACCACCATATGAAGACCCTGATGCACGCTGGGGTTGGTGGTACTTTTTTTGCTGATCTACCCATAATTGTTCTTTTGCAGTTTTAAAAGTAGGCAAGCTGCTTTCCTCCTTTTGACCATTATCTTCTGTTTTACTAAAAGCCTTACTGAGTATTGGATTGGAAAGTGCATCAATGGTGCCAAAACCACAAAAAGCCTTCCTTTCTCGTAGATTTTCACAGCCAGAAGGAAAACAAGACTGATTAGATGAGAAAATATTTAGTCCTACGTTGGCTTTCGGAGAGCTGTGATTTTCCTTTTTCACATTTCCAAACAATGGTGTGGCATGGAATTTTGCAGCGGCTGAATCACCTAAAGGCACTGAAAATGTAGGACAAGTCCTACTGGTATCAGTCACCACAGATGGTTGGGCACTCTGAAAGCATTTCAAAGGATTGCTCTCTGGGATGTCCTGGGTCCTATCTGTATCATGAGTTGAATGAGGTAATATGTCACTCTTTCCATAACCACAACAAACACTGAATTTAGGAAGATCACACACAGTGGCCTCTTTATGGATTACTACTGATGCATCAGCAGGATCCAACAGAGAGTCTTTGAATTTTTTGCCAGCTTGCATCATCTTCTGTACATTACTCATTTTGAAAACATTATTTATTGACAATCCCGACTGCCACTTGTCACTGTCAGTTTGTTGACATCTTGCCAAAGTTAAAATGTTTTCTGCATAGTTATTCAAGCCAGTTTCAACATTGTCAGAATCAATAATAGCAGAATATTTCTCTGCATATTTTTTGAACAGTTTGGTAGCACAGACCTGGGAGATCTCAGAGTTTGCCCATGCATACTGAATGCGTAATATCTGTGCACGGTATGCATCTGCCTTCTGTCCTGATGTACATATGCCAGATGTAATTGCAAAGTAATTCTTCTGCCACTCACTTAGGTGCACAGGCCTAGAGCTGGAAGTCTGCATTTTAGAAGTCCTATAACAAATGACAAAAATGAAAATGAATCAGTATCAAAAAGAAAACAAAGTTTTCTTTAAACATAGTTTTAAAATCTCTGCTAATCGGAAGGAAGGTACACTAGACTTTTTATTTATTAAATAAATGTATACGGACAGGTTATTTATAAGAGAAATAACTAGTTAACTATAGATTTCAAGTATTCAAGATATAAATATATATTGATATGAAGTCTTAAATATTAAAAACTTGACTTAATAATGATTTTTTGTAAGTTAAACTGTTTTAGTTATATAATAAATTTACCCTGTAAATAGGGAAAGCATTCATAAGGTTTTGATGGAAAAGGTTTAAAATTAATCAACAAAAGAGAGGCAATATGGAAGAACAATGGAAATACAGATACACAAAACAAAACAGACCAGGAATTACAGTCTGGTCTTTAAGAGAAATTAGATGAATGATATTAAGCAAGCCTCTTACTTTCACTGAGTCTTCAGTTTTTTTATCTGTAAAGAGAGAGAAACCATTGTGAGAATCAAGTCAAGTAATGAATATGAAAATAGTCTGAAAACTACTATTATTATCCCAATCACACAAATATAGAAACTGAGGCTGAGAGAGTTAAGGTGCTTACTTGAGATTACACAGACAGTTACAGATGGTGCCAGAAATCCAACACAAGCAGTTTCATTCCAGGTATTGTGCACTTCATCATGTACACAATGTTTCTTGATTGTTACTACCAAAGGTCACAGATTGAGCTGCACGGATCACAAATATGAACTAAGATATATTTAAGGTTTTTAACGACATTCATGATAGGCACCTAAAATAGGATGCCATAGAATCTCTCACAATTTCCCAAGTTCACATGAAGTATTAAAAAGGGAAACTTCTACAATAAATGAAATGAAAACAAATTAAATAGTCTACTAGTAAAGTGCTTTTAATTTACATTGCTTCTCTTAAGTTATTTTTATAAGCCTCTTCACATAAAGTTATATTTTAGAAGAATGCATCATGTTGCTGGATATGTAGACTTGACCTGCAAATCCACAGGAAAAATTTATGAGAAAACTTTTTAGTTTCCTAAGAGTACTGCAATAAAATAAAAACTAACAACTCATGTATTTTAAGTTTTACTTTCCAAATTACCTGTAAGTATAGCTTTAATAATAAATAGGTTCTTTTAGTGCAAGAACCACATTTAATACAGCCTTGTATCTCCCATAATGCTTTGCAAAGAATTTATCATATTGTAGGTAGGTGTTCATAAATCTTTGTTAAAAACAATAAGGAAACTTAAGATCCAGTGAGACTGTAATATGTTTAAAGCTATAATCTTAAATAAAAGTAGAGTCAAACCTTGAACTGACCACCCCTAAAAACCGGTTCATTCTACTTTCCATGATACCACTTTAACTCATATTTTAATCTTCTATGTAATACTGAAAATGAGCAATTTAAAGAGAAGTGACTTGGAAAACATTTATCACAAACTATCACGATTACTATAATCATCCACTTCTTCTACATAATCACCCACTATATCATCTACAATCCTGGGATTCCTCTAAAGCTCAGAGTTCTAATTACTGTTCCCAGAATACCCTCCTTTCTCCCTTCCACCTTCACCTTTTTCTCCAAAATTCACCTCCTGAGTCTTACTTCTTCATTTCAACTCAAATCATTTCTCTGACAAATATGGATATCAACAACCAAAAACTGTTTGGCCAACACTGATCAATGACACAGCCGTTGTCCTATTTACCATTTCCAAGTCAACTGAACCTTCAAGGCCTTTCCTAGCATCTAAAAATTACGGTTAATTAGCACTGACATACGAATAGCATTTCATTTTTCTGTATCTTGATAATATCCTATTTTAAGAATGTGGTATTTGTCTTCCTAACTAGACAGCTGGCTGGCTTCTGCAATAGGAGCTGTTTTCTGTTACACTTACATTCTCTCAGTACCTAGAATTCGGTATCCATTGGAACAATAGCTGTTAAAATACTGACAAAGCTCCTACCATGCACCAGACACTGTACAGGCCCTTTATAGAACTCTATTGGAGCCAGGCTGCTATATGATCTGCCGCCTGCAGTGACCCTGGGTAAATCTCAATCTCTCTTTCTCTGTTTTCACCTATAAAAGGAGCACAGTAACATTACTTAGCTGGCAGGGTCTTTTAATTCTGCAAAACCCTCAAAACAGCTCTCAGCACTTAGAAAGTGCTCGATAAAACACTGCTTATTATTACACCTCAACAAAGAATTAACAGCATTGCTTGTTTTTACCCCTCAGAGAAAGCGTTGCCCTTCTTTCTTACCACTCAGCTCTGACTAGCGGTAGTGCTGACAAAAGAACAGCCCAGGACACAGCGCAGCCGCGCGGGACGCGGCCAGGCCCAACGACAGTTCTCGCTGAGGCTGGCGGCCCGCAGGCCTGGCCCGGGTCCTCGGTGCCCCTCGTTTTTAAGCTCGGATGAGCCTCGCTCTGGGGTCACCTTCCTCGAAGCCTCGTAAGGCCACCCTCCCGCCTAAAGCAAAAGTGACAGAAAATGAAGGTGCGCTGAGGACACCACCCCTGCACGGAAACCCTGCGGCAGCGCCCGCGCGACTCTTCCTCCACAGCCTCTGCCCTCCCCAGAGGTCGCCCACGCCGCGGGGCCCCCGGACACCAGCCCCGCCCCCTGCCCCGGGGCCCCACTGGGGTCAGTGGCGCCAGCGACCCGCCTCCCGTCACCACCGCCGACCTGTTGCCGGTCGCTAACGCCGACCGCCTCTGAAAAATCGCGCGGGCCGACGTGCGCCTGCGCACTGCTGAAGAGCTCGGGCCCGCGCCGTGCGTACGTACGTGCGTGCGTGCGTGCGTGCCGGCCGGGGGGCGCGCGCGCGGCGGGGACGCGCCTACTCCAGGGAGCCACGGCCCCGCCCGCACCTCTAGCCCTTGACATTTTGGAAGAAGGTTTATTGCAGATACTCCGCTAAAGGAGACAGTTGTCTAGATCGATGAGTTTACATAAAGTGATACGTGGTCTCCCTTTCATTGTGCTAAGGTTTCATTTTCAAAGCCCTCGGAAATAAACAGGAGGAGGCGATGAGAGTTGAGGGAAAATTCGGAGGATTCCCGTAGGTCGTGACGTGCCTGGACTCACCTGGGTGAGCAAAGCGCCCGCCGCGTGTGCTACAGGCAGGGGCTGGGGCGGGGGGGGGGGGGGGGGGGTACCG